CAAATTCAAAACTCTGCTTACAAAAATTTGTATCATAGAAGGGAAAAAGAAGAAAGTTTCAGTGAATGAAGCAAAGTACCATATAATAGAGCAAAACCGTTTTCACTGTTTCACAGGTGGATATTCTTCATGGCATAAATATGATTAATGTTTAAATAATAATTTGCAGTACCACAAACTATTGCTGTTCATAAGGCACAGTTTGTGTGGTTATATTTTAAGGAGCGGGATTAGGAGATATTGTCTGTTCACTTGTAGAATGATCCTAAAGTAAACAAAAACAAGCATGTCTGCTTTGCTGTTTAGTAGACACGAGTAACATGCTATATTGAGATAGACATACTTCTTTACTTTATGGTCATCTCTGTGAGCAAATGGACAGTATCCTCCATACCACTGCCTAAAATGTTTCCATGATGACTGTATTATTATGATATGTGGGTTACAAATGCCACCTTATTGCACAGAGCAACTTGGGGCGATTGATATTTGTGGCAGGAATGGAATGATGACTCACCATGACCAGTTGTTTGTCTGCTTGAGCACTAGCATAGTTAAAACGAAATGTGACAGAACGCTGCCCATGCACCACAAAATAATGTTAAATCATTACTGCATCACATTATTCACCCACAATTTGCTGAAATTAGCAATTGTAAATCCCCTTTTAAATTATTTGAAATGCTATTTTATGTAACAAAAAGGCACATTAATAAAAAACAACAATTTTTATTTGCCTTCGTAAAGCTAGTACCCAATGTGGACCATACCTGCCTTCATACGCCACTGGTTTGCTACTGACATTTTTTCATTGTTTCTCATAGTGTTTGTGACTTCCAGAATCCATTTGTATAGCTGATGTGGTCAGTCTCATTATGACAGTACATAGTCATTTTACTCCAGTTAGACACAACTTCTCTAACTGTGCTTTTTTTTTTTTTTTTTTCTTTTCATTCAAAATGTATTCCAGACTACTATGCAGCTTATGTGTGTGTCTATGTCCATGTGGAAATTTGAATTTGCTTATTTAAACTAAAAAGAATGTGAGCTTCCCTCACCTGAAGCCAGTTTAACAGTTATAACAATCTATAAAATGTATGATAAAATGGAAATTTTTTAATGTAAAATGCTAGACAAAATTAAATGCTTACAATGAAATTGCCAAAGCATAAATGTTGAAGTAAACATCAATACCTTCCTGCAATATGTCTATTGTGTGTATACACTCATTGCAATTCAGTGCACATTTCATTAAACATTTTAATATGATGCAACTTTGCTGCTTTTCTATAACATAATAAGTAGTCAAGGTAGGAGAAGTATTTCCATGTGGTGCAAAATTTTTAATTTAAAGTATATTGCCACCATATTTCCCAACAGACTATATTCCCAAATTGTACTACTGAATACCTTATGAAAAATCTGCAAACACAATTTTTTTGGTTAATGTAAAATTGTTCTGCTGCTTTTTGAAAAAATAAATAAATAAATAAAAAGAGAAAGATTCAAAAAGTAAAATTTGCTTCATTTAAACAAAACTTTTCAGATCATTTTAGACAGTATTTCTATGGTGCAAATAACAGCTTTGGAAGATGTCAGAAAGGTTTAAAATCATCAGCCAAAACTCAAAAATAAATATTCATGCCCAGAAGTATGCAGGTGTAGCATGCATTGAGTATCCCTTCAGTATGAATATTAGATTTGACCCGTGTTTCTTGTGTTGCTGTTCGTTCGCTTCATTTGTGTTATTTCCTCTGTCAGTTTTAATTTAGTTTCATTGCTATTTGGTCAGTCACCTAGGTAATTGTGCTTATTAGCTCTTTATCATGATCATGAATTATTAGTTTTGAGAAATAGTTATCTTTCCCTCATCAGATTTTGCTGCCACCAATGATGTCGCTTAATAAAAAGAAATGTTGTTCCACATACTTGAAGTTTGGATTCGTTCTTTCGCCCTCAAAGTTGCAACTGCCCATATGTTTACTTTGTAACAAAGTGTTATATAATAAGGCAATGAAACCGTCTCGTTTACAGGAGCATCTGGAAAAAAATTCATCCTGACAAAAAAAAAATAAAGATTTTAAACAAAATAAAGATTTTGTTGTTTTTCACGAACATCAGGGACAAGCTCTTGAAAGCAGTGTCTGTCTCAGGCTTATTATTAGTTTCATCAAAACAATGCAATGGTGGCTTGGTAGCCTTTTATAATATATCAAAATTAGTTGCTAAATTGGGGAAAGCTCATACCATTGGTGAAGAGTTGATACTGCTGGCTGTCAAGGAAGTTTTAGAAACAGTTTTACACCATCCAGCCACATCCAATATTATGAAAAATGCCCCATTACACAATGATACAGTGTGACGACTAATTTGTGAGATGGCTGAAGGTGTTGAAGCTTCCTTTTTCAATCTTTTGAAACTCACCAAATTTTCTCTCCAGGTTGATGAAGCATCCTTGCCAAGTACTAATGAAGCTTTACTGTTAGCATACGTCCGGTTTGTGAAGGAAGGCAAAGTTATTCAAGAGATGCCTTTTTGCAAAAAGCTTGATTGTAGATACTAAAAATGAATCTTATTTTTAATACTGTCAAAGATTATTTTAGAGAAAAATATTCCTTTTGCCATCGATGGAGCTCCTGCAATGGTAGGTCGTCAACATGGATTCATCGTCCTTTTGAAGAAAGAGGTACAAAGTATTTTAGCTGTTCACTGCGGGATTCATAGGCAGCATTTAGTTGCAAAAAACCTCAACGACCATTTGCATGAGTTGTTACAATTTGTCATCTCTGCTGTGAACAAAATTCGTAGTAATGCCCTTAACGATCAATTACTCAGGCAATTGTGTAAGGACAACGATGAAGAATTCAATCGCTTGCTTTTTACACACTGAGGTTCGCTGGCTCTCCAAAGGCGGCCTGCCTTAGCAGTAGATTCTGGAATCTTTTTTACTTGAGTTGCTTGAAGAGAAGGCTGTAGCCTGAAAGACAGGTTGCTACAATTTTAGATTGATGTTGCTTACATGACCGATTTATTCGCAAAATTTAATGGAATAAATTTGCAGCTTCAAGGCGAAGAGCTCAATTTGATTACACAAAATCTGTTATTTCTGCCTTCCCAAAAAAAACTCGCTTCATGGAAGCAGAATTTTGGTCGCAACAACTGGTTTCAGCCAGTTTCCGATCCTGTCAGATCTGCATAAGAGCAATGAAATTCCGTTCGATGACACACAAATTTACTGTCAGCCCCTTGAGTCTTTGCACAAGGACTTTTCTGAGTGTTTTGAGGATATTTTGTTCCTGGAAATTCCATAATAGATCAAGAACCCTTTTATGAATATTTAGAAAGCAGAGGTCCAGATTCAGGAGGAACTAGTTGAACTTTCAACTAATTAAACTTTGAAAGCCAGGTTCCAGAATGGTGATCGTCTCACAGAATTTTGGCTTCAAATTAGCATCAGTCGCTACTACTCAGGGTTGTGGGCGAACGTCAAAAAATTTTAATTGCATTCCCTTCCTCCTACCTTGTTGAGCGAGGATTCAGTGCTGTGACTAGTCTAATTACAAAAAAGAGAAGTCGACTCCAAATCGTGTAAAGAGGGAACTTGCGCCTTATCTCTCTAAAAATATTGAAGCAAATGTTCAGAATCTGGCTCTGAAACGTCAAACACAAACATCCCACTGATCATACTTTATTTTTCATTGATATTACTCATTTACTGTATATTTGCTGTTCTATTTTTTTAATTATTTAACTAAGAATAAAGAATTTTTTTAATCATGGAAGAATGTTTTAAGAATTTTTTTTTTTAATTAGTCATTTCAGTTTTAACCAAAAGAATGTACCGTATATACCCGCGTATAAGTCGACCCCCCCCCACTTCCGAAATCCTTCAACATCCGATTCATGGTCAGATTCGCCAAACATTTCATAGAACTCTTCTGTCGTCATACATATTTTCAGTCTCGAACTCTGTGTTGTTACAATCACTACTAGAGCCTTCATCGTCATTTTCACTTTCAAAAACAGTATCATCTTCCGTGCCATCTAGTTCGTTGCTAATAAAACATTTTTTTAAATGATTTTATAACCATTTCAGAGGGTATTTCGTTCCAAGCATCTTTAACCCACTGAGCAATTTTTTTAAATTTTGACGTGTACGCCTGTTAACAAAAGTATTTCATGAATGAACAATAACTATTATAAAGACTTATATGTACGTAAAAACTATCTGCATTTCTCTTTTCTTGGCGAAACATTTTTATTGCTCGATATTGATCGGTTGTTCGGGGGCCGAAAATTCTTTGGTTTAATCGAAACTTACTCTAGTTAAAGTATGAAACTCTGTGATTAGTTCTCACATAATTTAAGTCATGAAATTACTTCAAGTAAGTGACTTATTTGATAAGTCGTCCAATTTGAATGCGGGAAGAAAACAACTGCATTATATAAAGAAATTTTTGAACTTCCGATTCTTTTAATTTTTTATTTTTTAAGTCGACCCTCCCCCCACTTTGAAGTCTTTTTTTTTTGTCCAAAATATCTCGACTTATACGCAGGTATATACGGTAATTACCTTCCAGGACAAAACTATCAACTTAACAAATTTGGTGTGTAAGTCTACTGAAAAAATTACTTGTAAATTTTGCCTTTTATAATTCAGGAATCCCTCCTTTTCCATACCCTGAATTACAGGATTTTTACATGGGGCATTAAAAAAGTTTTTGCTTCTTAGGGGGTGGCAGCTTTAAAATGATTGAGAATCATTTGTCTACATGAAAACATTGATTTTTAGCTCCCAACTAGTTGCCTTCCATTGGACTTCAGTTAATAGAATTAATATAAAGAATCTTTTTAACATTGGTCCTTTAATTTTCCCCGCCATTGTAAATAATCTTGTCATAAAATAATCACCCATTTAGCTGAAAACCATTGTAGTGATGTATAACCTTTTATGATTATTTGCAGTGGTGCCTTCAATTGAAGTATTTTTTGTTATGCAGGTGCTGTAGCAGGTATTGTTGATCATCCTCTCCAAGTCATAATATCTCCATCCACCCCAATGCAAACTGCTTCTGGAATAGTTGGTGGACTTGGTAAAGGCATTATTGGCATGTTTACAAAGCCCATTGGTGGAGCTGCAGAATTGTTATCTCAAACAGGATATGGTAAAATTAATTGGTTTATTTTTCATTTTCCCTAAAAAGTAAATGAAGCATAAAAGATGTTACCTCATGTCTAAAATTAATCAAATAGAAGTACTGTAACTGGAAAATATTGATTTATACTTTTATCAAAGTTATTTTGCATTATATACAATTTGTTTTATCATGCATGTTTAAATTTTTTCCGTGTTAGGCAGAATAGGTATTTATCACTGAAAAAAATTTTATTCAAAAGTATAATAAATAGAATGCTTGAAGAAGCATTTTCTAATAGAGATACAGAGAAAATATTTTACCTTGGCTTTACCTTCTTAATGGAAGATTTTACAAATGAATGTTCCTGAAATATACAACCTTGAGTGCTAGTTTTTTTTTTTTTTTTTTTTTTTTTTTTTTTTTTTTTTTTTTTTTTTGATCGCTGGTATTTTGACTTAAATGTACAGATTTTGTTAAAGTTATTTCTCATTCACTAACATGCATAACTATATTCTCTTTTACAAATATTTTACATTTTCAGTCTTAAATATGAGGATCTATTGTATTGCTTTGGTCAAAAGTTTTAAATTAGATTTTAATCCTGATAAACAGGGTTATGATTATTGAAAAGCGAAACTCTTATGATGCATTTCGTTTACCTCTCGATGCACCCCTTTGACTGTGGGTAAGCAAATGAAATATCTTGGGGACTTTTTTATTTTCTTGGAAACAACACTAACTTAGTATCAGAGAATGTGATAGATTACAGCGTGGGTTAGTCGTATTGCACGTAACAATACGGTATTAATTACACCACGTCATTCGCTCATCTATAAACAAGGAATTGCACCCTTCATATGTATGGCTCTAGAGCCTGGGGTAATCGCTCAAGAAGAAGATAATAGGATATTTACAAAAACGCTTTCAAGACGGATCCTTCTGCGGGTCATATGTGATATCGTACCGTAAGCTATGAGTTCTGTTTATGCAATTTCTGGTTTTCCTCCAATTGACATTGCCATTCTTCATTCTATTGCTTATAAGGAAAATATTTGCTTCTTCTACTGTCTCTCAGCATGATTGTATTTTACCTCTATCTGATCTCCCTATCCTTCAGAAGAAATGCTATTATTTTATTCAGTTTAGCATAAAATGTGGGTGATTCGCCTGTAACTTGCTATAAACTGATGGCGCAAAATTGATGGCAAGGTTGGTCCCCGCATTTGTTTGTCTTCAAAATGGTCTTGAATTTGAGCACTTTCAATTTAGAATCAGAGATGAATGTACCCGTTTTCATAGCTGAACTTTGTGCAAAACTTCGCCGTCAAATGGGTCTCTAAACAAAATAGTGCTTTTCAGACTATCTCATTTGTACTGATTCTCTTTCATCCTTGGAGATCTTAAAACATATTCTTCTTCCAATAATATCATTATCGAGATTCAAAAAGAACTGAAAATCTAAAGGATAAAATATTTCGGTTTCATTTTCATTTGTTCGTGGTCATACAGGTGTTTTGAACACGAGCCGATTTCCTCCTGCTAAGGACTGCGACTAGCAGGAATTGACACTTTTGTCAATATCCTAATTCCTTCTATAAGAAGGTCATGTATGAAAGCATTGTGGAGTCGTGAATCACGAATTCATTAATTCAATAAAGGAGTTTAACTAGAAGATATTTCCCTTCTATTAAAATGAGATTGTCGTGTCATCATTTCTTTAACAAATTACAATTAACCCAGTTTCTTACGGACATGGGAATTTTAAAAGTTATTTGAACAGATTTAAGTTGAGTCCTGAGTCTGTCTGTGACTGGTGGGCTCGGCGGCGAGAGAATGTAAACATGGCTTCTTTCTATGTCCTAAATATGAGAGCGAAAGAAAGTCTTGAAACTGGGACTGAAAAATTTTAATATTAACTGGCCTCCAGAGTTTTTAACCATTTATTTCTGAGAGAATGCTTTTTAAACATTTTTGTCAATTCATTGTAAAACTTTTTGTAATCATCCTTGATTTTATTTCAATTTTTCTTGTTTTTTTTGTATTGTGTTTTTCATACGTACTTCTGTAAGCCCCATGTGATACTATGTGGTACATGGGGAACTTGTTGAGTTTCTTTTAATAATAAATAATAATAATAATAATAATATTGCATTGCTTTTAGATAAATCCCTAGCCCTGAACAGCCTCTAAATGTGCAGTAAATTTTTTGTCCTTTAACAGGCATTTACAAATTTGGAAACTAGTGCATAATACACTGCCAAAGTCCCCCCCCCCCCAAAAAAAACAATGGAATCTATTTTATGGTAAAATTTTGTAGTTCCTGTAAAACAGGGAGACAAACTCAGAAAAATTATTTTTGACAAAATTTGGTAAGAAATGCAAAACTTAAAAAAATAGGATTAGAGCTGAATGAACAGTGCTAAGCATTACCATTCAGCTGTCTTAAGGTTGCTTTATTACTGCTAAGTTAATCTTCTAAATCTGCAAAACCGGTTACTACTTTTGGTGGTTTGAAGGCTGCTGTGTGTTTCTCTGCTTTTTTTTTTTTTTTTTTTTTTTTTTTTTTTTTTTTTTTTTCTAACTCCACTTACTATTTAAATTATTTCTTGAAAGAATTTTGTTAACCTAGGATATTTTAGTCATATTATTAAAAACATAATTTATTCTGACAGTGATGCAATGTTTGTATTAAGTACTTCGCTGTATCTGATTTGTGTTACTTTTAGTTTATATTTTTTCCATTTCAAAGGAGGGCTAGAATATCAAAAATGAGGACTCGGATTTTCCCCAAAATATCTCCTTCCATTGTTGTTGTACAGGGCACTCATTAAAATTTTCATAAATTATAAAAATGAAAGAAATGGGTATTATAAAGAGCAGTTTTCATAGAAATAAGTCATAAGAAGTTTTCTTTTGAGAAAGGGCAGCAAGCAATGACACCCCATTCGTATGCAGCCTCTTTGTGCTTTTGTGCAAGGCTTGCATTCTTGCACTTCCATAAAATATAGTAATTTAAAAATCAAAATTAAATAAGTATAAACATTTTTATTTGTTTAACATGTTAATGCAAAATATACCTATGCATACAGAAAAAAAAAATCATAATTTTTTTTTGGTTATCACAAAAGTTACAAAGCATTTTGTGATACTTATGTGATATGTAATTAACTGTTCATTACATTTTTATTCGTATAGTTTTATCTAAAGTATGTGTAATATTTTCTGTTCATGTCATTGACAGATGAGGCAAGTCATATTAAATAAATGTATAGTATTTAAAATTAGGCAAAAAAGTTACTTTAGCTTGGCATAGTTTGAATAAAGCTCTATCAATTTAAAGAATGATCAGGCATAAACTCTTTTCAGGAGGGAACTGTGCAGATTTTGTTAAAGATCAAGGAAAAAATCAAGGAAGATAAGTTTTGCTGAATTTTGCAATATTTGCAAATGTATCAGCCAATTTATTTTCATATATACAGGATGGTTCAAAACTATATGTCAAAAATGTAAAGGCAGGTAGAAGGGACCTGAATAAGCAGATTTCGTATAGGAATATGTGTGCGGTAATGTTACATTAAAGCTCTAGCATGTAAAACAGTATGTCACAGGAAATTGAAAAGACAAGTAAAGAAAAAGGAAAAAAATATTGACAGTTTAGAATAGGTGCTTGAAAAAGCAGCCACCAACAACGATACAAGATTCACAGCAGCGACGTATGGATCGGCGTATATTAGAAAAGATATCAGACATGTCGAGCACGTCCAGCAGCAAGAGACAAGCATGCAACAAGATCTTCTGCAGCTATGAAGGGACTCTCATACACAAGGCTTTTAATATGACCCCAGAAAAAGGAATACAAGCAGGTTAAATCAGGAAAACGTGGTGGCCAGGAAACTGGTCCACGCCTATCCATTTCTGGCAGTAGACAGCATCCTGATGATTCCTGACATTCCGCCTGAAGTGAGCTCGGGCTCCATCATGCTGGAACCATATTCGTCTGCGAACAGCTGGAGAAACATTGACCAGAAGTTCAGGTAAGACCTCCTGTAGGAATATGCTGTACATCTGGCCAGTTAAACAACTGGGTAGAATGTATGGTCCTACTAAGTTATTGTGTACAATGCCTGCCAAAACATTAATGGAAAACCTTTACCTTTTTTGGTAGGCCATGTGGGTTATCATGAGCCAACAGGTAAGAATTATGGATGTTAAACTTATCCAACCATGTAAAGGTAGCCTCATCAGTGAATAAAACATCTTCAGGGAAAGTTTGATTGCCTGCAGTCTGCTGTAGGTACTGATGGGCAAAGCTGTGACATGGAAGATAATCATCAGGCCTTTATTGCTTGCACTCTCTGTAAATGATACAGATGCATTCCATCTTCATGTAATGTCTTCAAAACAGTTGCATGGCTCACATCCTACAGCTCTCGAGCTTGATGAAGGATTATACCCTACTGCGTTTAGTATTCTTTCTTTCACTGCAGGAATTCTGCAATAGCTCCCAATGCCAATATCATGCCTGGATGCATAAAACAACTCACTCATGCTTACCTTCCAATGAAGACACTTGAATGTTCTACGATCTGGGTGATTCTTACCCAGGAATTGCTCCCTGTACATCCTTTGAGCAGCTAATCTATTTCCTTGTGCAGCCCCATACATGAAATGCATGTTGGCAAGTTCTGCACTAGTGTAACAATGAATGCTACTGAAGATTTGTGTGAGAAATGAAGAATCCAGCTAGCGCATTGCTTTTATACGCCTCACTCGTCAGCACTCTTAACCAGCTCAATGCGGCATTACCGTACACACATCCATATACAAAATCTGCTTATTTAGGTCCACTCTACTTGCCTTTACATTTTTGACATATAGTTTTGAACCACCCTGTATATATATATATAGAGAGAGAGAGAGAGGGACTTTAAATGTGTGAGAAGACATTTTTTATAAAAATTTGTAAGGTGTTTAATTCTTGAAATTAGTCTCATCATCAGTATCCCAATTGTCAGAATTTTAACTGT